ATATATGCTTAAATATTTAGTTGTTGGCTTGTGTACCTGTATCATGTGGTTCATATTCATGCATTTGTAGTTATTAGCAAAGAATGTTGAGTTGGAATCCTATTATTCACTTGTGTCAGTTGTTCCTTTTTCCCCGTGTTTGAATTTTTGATTGTTTATTATCTTTGCCTGCAATTGTACTTCCTGGCAAGGATGCTACGGAATGCTTTAAACAAGATGACATGCGACACTTGTCTGGTTCATTATTGCGTCAATTAACCTTTGAGTGGCATTCAGTACTAGCCATTTTGAGTGGTATTCAGTACACTACAGGATTCATCTAGTAGTTTGTCATCGTTCCATATCACTTGGAGGTCATATCTGTTTTTATGGAGATCATTTCCTGTTTTTTCAACTCGTTGTGGACGTTTACCTCCTTAAATAAGTAGGGCTGATTTCTTAGAGAGTGATAAAAGCTTGGGCTGTAAGTATGAGAATTGTGGGTTTGACTCTAAGAACAGCCATTTTGTACAAATAAAACCAATGTCTGTCTGTACCCCAGTCCACCCTCCCAGTGCTCTCAATTAATGGGGACTACTGGGTAATGGTCCATTTTAACCTCTTTAAATGGCCTGAACTTTGGTTGAATATATCCAAAATATACATTTCCTTTCCCCAGTATCCGCAGACTTCTTAATCTGTATCAATGCATGTAGTTAGTATTATATAAATACGTTGCATACTCACTGGTAAATACTGAGGCTCTCAAGCATATGAATATGAGTTCAAAACCCTGAAAGCAGCCTTTTTTTGCAAATAATGCCAAATGTTTGGTCTGTCCTCAATTATTGGGGACTACAGTGGGTAGTGACCCACATTTGGAGTTGATCTATACCAATTACAAAGCTAAAAATATTGGCCACTGTCCTTTATTTTAGGTTTGGGTGAAGCATAAGGAGAATCTGAAACTGGTGGACAGATATCATTTCTTTGCTTCGAGTTTTCGACAATTTGGCCTCAATTATAATTCTCTTTCTGAGCTTAAGGGACTAAAGGGATGAAAGTGAGGCTGATGGAGCCCTTAGTAGGAACTTGGGGACAATCTCGAGAACAGAGACGCAAGGCAGGTAAATGTTTCTTACAACAACTAGAATTGCTCTCTTGCATTATTTATTTTTATTATTATTATTTTATTTCATTTTTCTTTTGGTTCAAGAGTTTCATAATTTTTTTATTTTTTGGTGCTTATCTGGTTGGGAGCAGGTTTGAGTTTCAGTGTTGCCATTCATTGAGGGTTGGGTTGTTAATGGTTTGCATGAATGGATACATAGATACATACATGTATCATAGAGTCAAAGCACTATCTATGTGTCTCTTGCTCCTCTTGCTTCACCATCCATTTTTGTGGTCACTTTGAAGGTATTGGAACTTCATACGTGATATGACCATAGGATAAGACTGTAATTCAATGAAAATTTGTTATCCTTCATGGCACAGTATTCCACCAACCGTTTCTCTCAGCTATTCCCACCATTCGCCGTTGGAGTTCCGCAAAATTTATTGGCTTTTTTGAAATGTTTTAAGTTTTATTTTTTATATCAGAAGGTTTTCTTACTGTTCACTAATAGATGGAGCAAAGCCAATTTTCTGATGGTTCGTGGTGATAATTTGTTGTATGCCAAAAATTATCATGATATGGAGCCAAATTGTCTTTTGACAAGTGAGTATTATCTTTTGCATGGTGAATCTTCAAATATAAGACTTGGTGATCAAGCTGAGGACCAACTAATTGTGTGATCTTACCACATAAATTGTTTGATGATTCCTGGCAGGTGTTGAAAACATTACGGAAGGAAGTTCTAGGGGGGTGTAAAGTTGTCTTCACCTGGCTTTTCCCAACTAAATTTCAAGCTGAAAATCACCCCCTATGGAAGATGGCAGAGCAGTTGGGAGCCACATGCAGCACAGAGCTCGATCCATCAGTTACTCATGTGGTGTCTACAGACAGTGGAAGGGTGAAATCCCGTTGGGTGATGCAGGAGGAGAAGTTTCATTTCCATCCAAGGTGGATACAAGCTTCAGACTATTTATGGCAAAGACAACCTGAAGAGAATTTCTCTGTTAGGCCCAGTTTGGCTGGAAAGAAGTGGAAGGAAAAGAAAAGAAAGGAAATGGAGTGATGTATAAAATTTTGGAACTATAAGAAAGGAAATGGAAGGATTTGGAGGATAGATTAAAAAAATTTGATGAGTTGATTTTTTTATCCTCCCAAAAATGGGAGGAAATGAAAGGAAAAACTAATATTTTTAATAAAATTTTATCAATACCAAATTTGTCCAGGCAAAATCAAAGTTAGACGTGAGTCTCAGGGCATATTTTCCCATATTTTTATAGCAAAATCAAAGTTAGATATTACCATTGTATTTATGCAGAACTGTATATGGTTTGACAAATTCACACGTACTTCTAGTGTTTGTTTGAAGAGAGGGTCAATAGAGTTAGGGGTGCAACTTGGGTCTGCCCGGCTTAGCCCAAACCCAGACCGAATTCAACCTCAATCCGATTTCGGGTTGGGTTGGGCCTACTCGAGTAACACAAATTTGGATTTCAACCCGAATATTCACGGGTTGGATGAATTATCCAGATCAACCCGTTTTCTTTCTTTCTTTGTTGTTTTTTTTTCTTTCTTTTTTTTTTTTTTTCAAAACAATAGGTCTATTTTTTTTTTTTTTCTTTTTTTACTATTTGAATTTAATTTCAAAAAGATTTTTAAAATATCATCAAATGCTGAATATGTATATATTACTAATATTTTTTAAATATTGAAAGGCAGTGTTATATATATATATATATATTGGCAGATTTACCTATCCACCACAATTGATCATTCAAATAAAATTATAGCTTAATCCTAACTGTCCAGTCTAACATCTAAAGGTTCTCATCAAACCCTAGAAACATTAAGCCCCTCTTTCTTCTCTCCCAAAAAAATAAAAAGACTTGAAATCTTCAATTTGGGTTTCAAAAACAATTGACCAAATCAAAATTTTTATTTTTTCACCACCCACCCCCAAACAACACAACCACTTCTCTGCATCGTTCAATTATCGTCGGCATCAATCAATTTAAAGATCTGTTATAAAAAAATGAAAAATTAAATTAAAAAAATATATATCACAACCAAACAACACCGTTTCTCTACATCATTTTTTTTTCCAACACCCACTCCCAAACACATCAGGAGGCAGAGATGGAGGAGGAAGAAAACGGCAACAATGGAGGAAGGCGGCGCCAGAGGTGGTACTTGGTAGGCGGCAACGGTGGACTGGTGACGGCTTTTTGTTTGAACATAATGATTTTTTTTTTTGGTTGCAAATCTACTGTAAAAAAAAAAAAAAAAGAGTTTAAAAATTAAATTCGGATTGGAAGGGTTGGGATCAGGTTAAAACAGTTCTAATCCATGGCCAACCCGAATTGGGCTCAGGTTGAGAATTTCCAACCCAATTCCAACCAAGCTTCTAAAATTGTGAGCCCTTAAACATTCCCCCAACTATTTCAGCAATAACTTACTTTGTTGTTTGATTTTAATGAAAGTATACATTATAGGTAGTGAGTGGAGAAGCAAAAAGTCAATCTGTTAAGAATTCGGGTTGGTGTGAAACTTTTGTTCAACCACTTTAGCGGTGTTCTATGAAATCCAACAACAACAATAACATAACACAGAGTAGTGGTGTCAAATTGCTTATATAAGAAGTGAATGTGATTTATTCCTACCCCATCAATGGAAAGTTCTAAGTTCTGTAATAGTTTTTTTTTTTTTTTTTGGCTTTAAATGTCTTTGAAGAACATTAACTTCCTTTGTTGTTTGTTTCATAATTTTCCCTCATTAAGTCTTATGAGTGAATGTGAAAATTTGCAGTGTCTTTTCCAGACAGTAACAGATTAAAACCACCTCTCAACCTCTGCGACTTTCCTTTTTTCTGTTTTCTTGTTTTTGATGGTTCACGAAATTGTTACTTGCTTCAAGCAAAGAAATACAAGTCTACAACCATTTTTGTTTTTTTTTTTTTTTAAAAGTGACCCACCCTACCATAATCTACAAATTAATTTTTATAGAATGTTTTCAACTAAGATCTTGAATTCCTAGACAATCTTTTTTTGGTTAATTATGCTACTCATTCCGTTTTTTATTACTTTTTTAAAAATAAAATAGAAAAGCATGCAATACACGAGTCATAGAAAAATATTATATGAGCTGCGTGATGTAGGAGACAACCTACACTAAATTTTCATTGATTACGATAAAAAATATATAAATAATAAATAAATAATAAAAATAAATAAAAACACTACACATAGACAGAGACATTTTCTTTACTTTTTTTCATTTCCAATTTAAATGAAACATTGGTCTCATAGGGAGGGGAGGGCGTTGTAAGTTTAGGTAAAAGAGAATGTTATAAATGAGTTTTGTCCTACATAGATCGAGTTGAAAAGTGAATTAGTTATCAATAGATTGAACTGTACCCTCAATTAATGATAATTTTTTTTTAATTAGTACTCATCTAATCTCCAAATATAAATATAACCCTGATTTACCGTGTCAAGCTTTCACTCTGGAAATTTCTTATTTCCTCGTACCTCATTGAAGGCTCTTTCGTTATCTGAAGTTCAAATCAAAACACAGATTAGATGAGTCAATTGTTCAACCATTTTTCACTTTCAAATGGTACTTCAGCAACAGTTATCACTCCAATAACCAATTTTCACTTTCAAATGGATGGCAGTGATGCGATCACTCCAATTGCTTACGTAATAAAATGGTTAAGTACGTTCGTTTATTCACACCAAAACCGTTGATCAACCTTTAAAAATTTAATTAAACCTGCACGAAACTTCAAATTTGGTAGCGTCCGCTGCAGAGAAAGTTGTACCACCAAGCAAACATCAACATAGTAAGTTCACGGCGTAAGTTTACAAGAAAGAGTCCATGACACGGCTAATCCACACGCACATACAAATAAATCAATAAAAATAATTCATTAGAACAATTTCACCTTATTGCGCTATTATTTCTAAATATTGTGTAGATAAAAATTACATGACCAAAAAATCCTTTAAATAGGACAAGTAAAAAGAATTACACGAGTACACAACCAACAATTACAATGACAACACTCACACTTCCCTTCTTACGATTAGCAGTGGAAGGCCGTCTTCCCACTTTGCCTTCCCACTTTTTTATCCCAAAAAGTTGGCCTCAGCAAAGTATAATTATAAGTTTCTTCCTTCTCGTATTTACCAAGGGCTAAACTGAAAGAATGATCACCACACGTCCCGCAAGTACCTATTGGTCATTTGCAGATTCTTCACCATGCTCTCTGCTTTTGAGCTGTCGAGAGATCCCTGAAAATACGTCGATGCACTTCATTAGTTAAGTCTCCCAAATTTTCATTCAATACATAGCTTCTAATTCTTCTCAACTAAAAAGAAATTGACAGTTCTAGTTTAGGAATGTGGCCCTAACAGGTTGACAATTCCATAATGTTTTGTCATTATGTTCAACATCACAATCATAGAAAAGTTGCGGACATGCAAATGCCAAGCCTAACTGGCACAGCTCTTGGTTCAGGAAGCAATCTGGCCTACGTGGTTGATTCAAAATCACAAAAAGGGTGTGATTGGTGGTTGCACTTGTGTTTTGTAATTAGGTAAGGTGGACACAGACATTGCATGCACGTTTCAATGATTCTAGCCACAGATCCAATACCAATGAACAATACCTGTTCCTGCGCAATGGTGTGGAGAGTTCGGTGGACATCCCTGGCCATGCCTTTGGCATCACCACAAACGTATAGGTATGCTCCTTGAGATATCATGTTCCATATATCCGAAGCCTGGATGCACCAATAAAATAAAGAAAAAAGGATTAGCATCCCGAAATATGTAGTAATTTCTTATAAAGAAAACCTCATTTTCTACAAATGGTGGTTTGTGCAATGGGTTCCATACTTTCTCCGTCATTTTGTGTTGCACATATTCCTTCGTGGGCCCCTCACGTGAGAAAGCAATAATCAGCTCAGAAAGTGCACCAGTTTGAACGAAGTGGTTAAGCTCATCCTCATAGATAAAATCCTACAAATATAAAACACGTTGATGAAATAGTTTATCATTTAAGAATAATAATATTTACAGAAAATTCAAATAAACTGATCGCTGATAAGGAAAAAAAAAAAAAGAAGATCACTGATTAGTGAATCACTTACCATATTACGGTTCCTGCATCCAAAGAATAATACAGCAGTACCCAGTTCTGCTCCTGCTTCTTTCAGAGCTAATCTTTCCTGAAATACGATATATACATTTATTAGCTTGGTATTTGACGTCCTTGACACAATATTAAGTGTGGCAATGACCAAGTCCTTGAACAATACAGTATGCAGTTCAAACCTGCAGGAAACCCCTAAAAGGAGCCAATCCGGTACCAGGGCCAATCATGATAATAGGCACCTTAGTATCAGCAGGAAGTTTGAAGTTAGATTGCCTGACAAAAATGGGTGCCCAGCTGCAATCACGGCTTTCCTCTAATGGCACAGCACTCTGAAATATGACCAAAGAAACACGCGACACATAAGAGGTTGTGCAAGCTACAGCAATGGAAACTTCATAACAATCTGGTAATATTAAATGTGAATATAAAGGCAGAAAAGGCCTTCTCATTCATCTAATGTAGGAAGTCAAGATAGAATTAGAAAATCTAAATGACCCATGTATCATGGCAATTCCAGGAATAATGGGTATCTAATAGTGTCCTGGAATACTTTCTATTTCTAATGTGCAATTTCTTTGCCATAATGCCAAGACCACAGCACAGCATTTTCCTACCTCTTAGTATATGACCTTATTACCGAGATTTAGAAAAAGAATAAATATACATATATAGTAGTACCTTCATCCAAGTTGAACACACCCCTTTATGAATTCGTCCCGTTGGTGTTTTTTCATAAACTAATGCACAAGTAACATGAATTCTAGATGGTGCCATCCTGTCAAACATAGTTGCAGGTAGTAAGAACAACAAAATTGTAGAAAAAGAACAATGAGGTTTACCCCCTCTTGCTCCAAGATATTGCTGGGAAAGTACAATGAAGAATGAGGAAAGAAGTAGGAAGTACTTTGGGGAGGAAGAAATTGAATAGTATCTGGGCTGCAAGCGTGGGGCAACAGACGCAAAGAAAACTCCTATGGGGGGCTTCGCTGATGGGAATGCTGCCATGACCTCAAGAAGGCTTCTCTGACTTGCAACAACCCATTGTGCATATTCATCCTGTAGAAGGAAAAAGATAAATTACCATAAGAAGTATGAGACAAGAATAGTTTAATATGAAAGCTCCAGAAGAAGATTCAAAACCTTTCCAGCAGGAGATGCAAGATGTCTCAATCGATCTGCTTCACTGGGATCAGAAGAATGAGCTGCTAGAGCAAGTAAAGCTGACTGGAAAACATATGCAGTCAAACTAATTAATTATTCAACAATTTTTTTTTTTTGATAAGATTCACATAGATATTATGATGATCAATGAATTGACATGAGAAACAGGCCAACCTTTTTGGGAGAACTCAAAAGATCCGCATATTGAGTCAGCGCTGTTCTTAAATTGCAGGGTGGGAAAGGAGGTTGCAAGGAGCTTCCACTAAGCGGTGTCCCATCCTCGTTATCAGTGTGAATGGAGAAATAAGTATCTGGCGACAAATCAAATAACTTTTCAGCCTCCTCTACAGTTTCCATCAGATTCTCACAGTAGACGCCAACATGGTCACCAGTTTCATAGCTGTCGACAAACAAAGTAGCAAAGGATAAATAACAGGATTGATACATCATTAACTTACAATATCCCCATTTTACCCAATTTCATGGGCATTCATCTGAAAGGCATTCTCAATAGACAAATAGAATAGAATAGTCAACAAAAAAACAAAAAAAAAAAGGTCATTTTCTACTATAACTACACATCCAGATCTGTAATTCACAAGAGCAACTTACTCAAGCCCAGTGCCAGAAATGTCGAATTCCAGATGAGTGCAAGAACGATCAGACGCAGGAGAGTGGAGCTCCTTTTTCACAGCAACATTAGATCTTCGTTCACAGAACAACGTGCATGTGTTAGGTTATAAGGGATGGGGAAAGTATATTATTAAGTAAAAACCAGGAATTGGAACTTTTCTCTTGGGTACCTGCATGGATGTTGAGCATCAAAAACAGCGTGCCCATTTGATTTACTCCAGCTACTGTCCAAAACTGATGTCTCTGTGTGATCATGGTAAACAACCCGATATTCCAATACAGCAGCAGTGTATGGAGTAGCAACAGTTGTATCATCATCCCCCCGGAGCAACTGATCCAACTCGGGCCACACTAATTCTCTCCTAGATTAGCATCAGTTAATAACAACCATTAACACAGTCATTTTACACAAATTCTTATATGGAAAAAGAAAAAAATATAGAATGTTACGGGTTCAAGATAATGATTTTAAGTTTCTTTATACCATGCAGTGAAGTCATCTTCAATGCATTGATCATCATCTCCAAGACCAACTGGAACAAGGCGCTTCCCACCTGTAATTGGTTAAAAAAATCATGCTCACTGAAACAAGAACTGCTTTGAAGGTAGCAAGAATACAATTTCAGCGATTTCATCATGGCATTATACACAAAATAAAATTTCTCTATACATAATTGTTTTGTTGTATCATTTTGTATCTCTTTATTGCAAATTAAGAGATGCCCACTTCAACTAACTCACTGACTCTATTGACAATAACCATTAATGCAATTAAACATATATACTTGGATCCGAAAAAATCCTAACATTAAACATATATACTTGAAGCCAAAAAAATCAAAGTAAAAATTGGTAGTGATAGTTGATAGCTTTACTTGGATCCGAAAAAATCCTAACATTAAGACATGGCCATGTAAATGGCAAGATTTAACAACTCAGCAAAATTTACCAGCACAACCAGACGCCGAGCACTAGAATAACATTTAGGAAATTTCTAAATAAATCATTTGCAATCACATCCCATTGATAAAGCATCAATATGCCTACCTAAACATTACGAATTCCATAAAATTCCAAGAGACAATCACTAAAGGAGGCTAAAACAGGAAAAGGAAAACATACCCTGCTCGTCAAGGATCTCATCCACCACAACTGCAATCTGAAAATAACATTAAACTTTAGCAACAAGCACAATGTATAATGGCAAAGTGGCTTGCTGGCTTTTTAGCTAACAAGCACACCATAAAAATTTAAGCGGATTAAAAGCTGAAACAACATTCATTTCTAACCTTGTTGAAATGCTCATACTGCCTGTTGCCGAGGCCAAACACTCCAAAATGAAGTTTCTGAAGCCACTGTCCTCTCTCTTTTCCCTATAAACAATTGTATTAATCCAAAATTAGCCCCAAAATCTTAATTTATTAAATAATACATAATAACAATGTCTGAAATTAATCAAATTTACCTCCATAAACCATTTATAAAATCTTGCTGCATTGTCAGTTGGCTCACCATCTCCATATCTAATCCACCAACAGTGAATCACATTTAATACGTATATATATATATATATATATATTATATACCGTGTATTTAATTTAATACTACAGATAGTGGGAATTAAAACTCACGTAGCCAGAAAGAAAAATGCTATAGTTTCTTTCTTCAACTTCTCCTCATATTCATCATCATCAGCAGCGTAATCATCCTACAAATCATTCCATTCATCAAAATCGCAATTTCAAGTGGGACAGAAGAAAAAATATTTGACCAATCAGACAGAAAAAGTCAAACTTTACCATATCAATCACTTTAAACGTCGCCTTTTCGTATCTAGCTTTTGCCTCCTCAGCTAGTGCCTGAATAATGACAATTGGATGATTCAACGATCAAAAAAGAACAAAATCAATCAACAACTCAGATGAGGCCGAACTGTCACCAACCTTCGCAAAACCTTCGGCCGTGCCTGTCTGTGTGCCGAAGAAGATCGTGACCTTCTTCTTACCGTCATCTACTTCCGGCTCCGGCTCGGTCTTCACCGACAACTGCTTCGGAGCTTCGACTGCTTTCACCGACTTCTGACCGGAAGATCTACGCCAAACCAACACCACGAAGCACCCGATCAACACCGCCACGGACGTCGTCAGTATCACCATCAGCTCTCGGTTCTCGATCAACATCGCAAGCGCCGGCCACTCGCCGGAATCTGACGACACGTTGGCCTGGTCCATTCCCTTTCCCTTCAGAATAGCGGTCATCAAATCGAACGGCGACACCTTGACCGAGTTCGATTGCATGTTGTTGTTGTTGTTGTTCTGGATCAATGAAACCAAAGACCTTTGGCCGGCCGGCGAGAAAATTGATCGGTTAGTTGGCTCTTTATAGAGAGAGAATGGATTCACAATTGTAGTGAGAGAAAGAGGAAGAGAGTCTCTCCGTTTCAGACTCTTTGTGTTCGTCTGGTTTCTTGGTATGATTTGTTGGTGTGGTTGGAGAGACTCTCACTTGCCTCGCCTTGCCTTGCCTTGCCTTGAGAGGAGAGATAAAAAGAGGGAAGGGGTGGGTTTTATTGGCAGCCGAGAACGAACGCACGCCTACCCAACCAAACTCACCAATGAAACCCACCTAACCCGGCTTAACCATGGTTAAGGAGACTTTGACTCGATTTGAGTAATAGTGCTGTTTTTTTGTAATTATATATGTAGTATTTTTTACTTCCAAATCTCCTAAGTGCCCTTTTTTGTCTTCTACTTTCGAAAGAATAATGGGTGATAAATGCCCTCGTGTGTCTCGTGCGTGTAGTCTCTCACTTGATCAGTGATCATGGCCATGGATGATGCTTCCCACTGTGGTTCCCCAGTGTGGTTAAGTGAATAAATTGCTGCCACATTTGGTGTAAGTATTAGCTTTCATGCGATAAATAAGTAGCAGCAAGCGGGTGTTTTGCTCAAATTACTACGTAGTACAAGAAAAATGAAGCTTAATGATGTCAAGACACACCACATAAAAAATAAATAAACAGCTTTTTAAGGTCGGTAAAAAATTAAATAAATCTTTCAAGTCCGTGATTAATAAATAAATAATTTGTTCTCTTAACATGAGCACTCTTGATAAAATTACTTAATAAATGAATTCATATTTTGTTCAATTATCTCAAAATGAGTATTAATAATTTTAACATTAAAAATAATTCTAAGAAATTATAAAAGATTTACTCTCTTAAAATGGTTTTTTTTTTTTTTTTTTCTATAGATTTTGGTACTTCAAAAAAAATGTTGTCAAGTGATTGGACCAAACATGTCCCAAAGATGTACGTTGTGAATTATATTGAAGGCGGACCAAAATTATTTATTATATGAAATGCATTTGACAATAACAATCAAGTCTGATTTATCTTCTTAAGGACTTGTTGAGGGTTTGGTGAGAGCAATCGTCCTCGTTAATTTTTTATTCTATTCTATTTTTTATATTATATACTTATTATTTATATTTTTTAAATTATATACTTATAAAATTTTAAAATTAGTCTCACTCAAAATACAGAAAATCTTCACTATTGTGCCAATAATATTTTGTTAAAGGCTGCTCCTAATTGTTTGGACACCAAGTGTAATTGGGATACAAGATTTGGGTTGTACAGCATATGTTTTTTTCATGGAGCTCAAGACTGCAACTGTACTCATAGCACCAAAGCACGACTATACTTGCATTACTAGACTATACGAGGAACAGGTGTACTCAGATTTAAGTCAGGTATAAAGTGAAAGCCTAAGTGCTTTACATTTTTTTAATTCTGTTCACCGTTGAATATAGAATATCTATTTGAATGCATGTTCAAATATGTAAGTATATAAGTGAGTTAATTAATTAATTAAGTGCTGGAAGTAGTTAAATATTAATGTTTATTCTAACTTTTTAACGAAGAGATAGTGGCTTAGTTGGCTGTGTGGTAGTCTCTCCTTTTAACATGTGACTAAAGCACAGGTGCGCAAGAGAGGTGCAATTGATGGTTTAGCCCTCTTATTTCTATGAAGAGAGAAAAATTCGGAAAGTATAGCTGTTTTTAAAGAACTTTCTGGTTCTTTTAAAATAGTTTTTTTTATTCATTTTTTTTTAGTTCATGAGAATAATTTTTTGAAAATTTAATTAAGTTGACCAATGTTGTGTTCGGTAGGAAGGAAAGAAGACGGGTGGAGAGAAAATAGAATGGAAAGAATGAATTTCCTTTGCTTGGTAGAAATGATAAAAAAAAAAATTAAATTAAATTAAATAAAAAAAAGAATAAGAAGGATGAAGGATGATATATCCTCCCTTCTTTATAAATATTTGTCCGTCAAAAAATGAGCAGAAGATAGAAAGATAGAAAGAAAGGAAGACAAATGCATTATTATAAAAAATTTAAATAAAATGATATCCTAAATTATACAAGTTTTAAATTAAAACATTATTCTCTATAAATTATAATATTATAAATATTATTGGATATGATGGTAAAAATATTTAAAATTTTCTATTTCCTTCCTTTTAACAAACATAGTAAATTATTAGTTTATTCATCTCTCGTGTCTTCTATCTAACCGAGCAAAAAGAAAGAAATACATAATCTCTTCTCTAGGAACGTCTCATTCATCTATTATTCTCTCTCTTCCATCTATTTTTTTTCAGAGTATTTAACATATCCGATATATACCAGATACACCAAATATCTTATGATTTAATGGTACCTTTCCTACCTCTTAAAATGGTTGGTAAGGATTCGAATTTCCAAGTAGATTACATTCATACAGTATCAGTATAGACACTCATACAATACTCGTGTAACATGTAATATCAAAATACAACATTGTATTAAATCCATTACGTAACACATCTATATTGTTATTATATTTTCCATTTAATAATGTTGGATATTTAATTAAATAGTTTTACACCACCCTCAATTTATTTGTACTTAAAAAAAAAAGAGTATAAAATAAGAATATGTATTGGAAAGGATCTAATTTATAATAGGATAACAAACTCGCAAGAAAATATTTAGTTGCTGGCTTTGACTAAAAGAAGAATAATGAGCCTATTTATTTGAATCTATTTGAAGGTAAGAAGACCCATGGTGTCTTGTAACAATGCTCTTATGCTCGGTAGAATCGAAATTTAACATTTTAACTTTTAGAACAATGTCATGTTCAAAATTGGCCTTGAAATTAATTCCACCTTTAAGCCTCCAAATGATTGGTGGGGTAATTTTGTAATATTTAAAATAGATCAAATTTCTCTTCTTTCTTTAAAAATTTTGTGAATTCAAAGTTATTTTATTAATACTTGACGAATGTTGACTTCCCACTTTGTCACCACCAGCGATGAGAAACATGTCAACATTGCTTTAGCAATGAACAGAGCAAAAGCACAGAGAAGAAAGAGGTGTTTCGACCTAATTGAAGGCTATTTTCTTTTCCAATTTCCATCCAAGTAGTTATAACCAGAGGAGTAGTTATTGAATATTCTGGAGTATGGTACCCAGGGTAGCGAGGGTCATTGGATTATGAATGTGGTGGGCCCATCACCACATCCAAAGGATTGGTATGCCTGGAGGTATCTACCCCGGGTATTCAATAATTTTCCTGACCAAAGAGAGAGAGTTAAGAATGGGTAATTTATTTCCCAATGAACCTTACTTAGATGAAAATTGGGACGGTACAGATCATTGGTGAGGTAATTTTGTAATATATAAAATTATTATGGTCAAGATCATAATCAGATAGCATTCAGTGTACCACTAACCTACAAAAGACCACATTGGAGATTTATTATAGTTTGAAAGGTCAATGGACCAGTTTTACCATCTACATGGCTTTGACTTTTGACCGACCAATAACTACATTATACATTCGTGTTCCTGTACAGTAGGATACTCAAATTGACCAAAAGTAAAGCATTTTTTAAAGGTCAACATAGGCCTGCTGCACACAAGTCAAGGTCCCCGCTTTCCCAGTTGTGGAAGGAAATCATCTTTTAGGGTTTAATTCATTTTGATCACCAGCCGCCCACCGTATCATGCACATCATACGTTTTTCGTTGCTGTTTGATTAACATAAATATTGAGATTATGCCGACTTAGTCGCATTTTAAAATTCTCTCATGTAATGTAACTAATGTGATTACTTTTTTAATTAAATTTTAATTGAATGTTAGGAATAAAATTAGTTAGAAGAAAAGACACGATAATATATTCGAAGTGATTTTAACTCTTTACCTTTTGGGTTGAATGGAGAGAAAGACAACAAAGTCTTGGTATATACTTGACATTTAATTCGTGTTTAAATATAATTTAGTTAAATATAAAAAGAATAAAAAATAATTAAGTAAACCTATAAACATGATATTTTTTAATTAGGACAATTCACACTTCCCTTTTTAAGTATATTTTATTATTATTATTATAAACGACGGAAATACTTCTAAATTTTCATCGAAGAAAATAATGTATTGCAAAAAGGAAGAAATGAGCTGACAAATGAGGAAAAAATAATACCAATGAGGTGGGAGATATTTGGAGTTAACGAAGTTGTAAACTTGTATCCAACCCTGCGGTTAAAAAAATAAAATTTTGTAAACTTGTGACTTTCTTTGTTGACAAAAAGTAGAATGAAGTTTGGTTGCTTAAATAACGCCATCTTAGTGGAATTCATTAGGTTCAATTATTAGAATCACTTTGGCACACCTCTGTGAATTAAATATGTAACATCATTATTAAATCGAATGTGGATTGACAATGTAAAATTTTTTACAATTTTGCAAATGTTGTATCATTGTAATAAATATATTATATTAGTATTGCATGAATGTTGTAATATATTGAATTTTTAATTAACAATGTACTCAATCACTCGATGAATTTGAGAAAGAGTTGTGATAGGTAGTTCGAAGGTAAATGTCTGAATATAATATCATGTGAGTTTCACCTAAAAACATCATCGGCATTGATACTTTCAGACACAAATCCAGCACTTTACTTTTCAAAAGCGAATCATTTCTCTTAAAAAAATTTTTTTTCTTGATTTTCGTCACCAATCACCAATGTCAATGGCATCATGTAAGAATCGCATTAATGGTCAAATCTAAGTACCATATTAAAAACAAGCCCACAGTATACTTATTAATAACAAACTTTAGTCCAATTAAGAACACCAAATTCTTGGTCGACTTTGGACTTTGGAGTTACCAACTATATAGTTTTATATGCTATTAAAGAAGCTTGTTAATTTTAGTCCAATTATTGTGCAATGCGAACTCCAAAATCAACGTTAACTTGTCCTTTGTAAAATAAAATAGAACTTTTAAACAAATAGCATAGTTAATTCGAGCCTAATAACTGATTAATTCAAATTTGACTAGTCAAGTTGATATCAGATTGGGTAAATTTGGATTAAAAAATTTGTGTTTCAAGTTTGCGTTTTGTTGATCCCTAAACTGCTCAATTTTATTTATTTACTTTTTGGTTATGAAGGCTATTCTCACTCACTTAAATCCCAAATCTGAATTTCAAATATGGTACTCTCTGACCAATAATGAGTAATTATTTTCTGTTATCAAGAAAATTTGTGAGTGTCTAATTGCAATTTCAGTTATTAATTGATATATAATATAGTATTACTATGTATTTCGTAATTAATGTTGAAATATAGTAAGTTTAAATGTAATATGCATATACTAAATATTTGTGAAATTTAAGTTCAAATGTAAGTAATTGTTGGTGTGCTTTTGCAAATTTTAAACTTGAGGTGTGCGAATATTATATTTAAATTAAATATAAATTCCTAACAAAATACATTTAAATAAAATAATTAAACACACACACACATATATATAATTTATGGGGTTTGTTGGTCATTTTAAGTGAATAAAGTAACGTCAAAGTGGTTTTTTGCATCAACTCAAACACTAGTAAAAATGATATATACGGAGTAGCGTACAAGTATTCCAGCTACCACACCGCTAAATGACGATAGGAGTTGGCAGATATGGGGTGTCAAACTTCAGCATTACGAGGGTGAAGACTTTTTAAAATGGGCATGTCGATAAAGAAAATATGTTACTGTTTGATGATGTATTTTATAAAGTATTTGTTATATTTAAATATATTTTAAAATTTATTTGATAATAGTGTTATTTAAAATATTTTTTTATAAACATACACGAATAACAATGTTACATGATATGAATATGACTATGATTCATTAACATAGCATGATTGCTTGTTAACAGGGTATAATTATAGGTTATAAAACTTATTTAAATATAAAATATTATTAATGATTTGAAAATTTCACACTATGAAGGTTATAGTGTATGTATTGCTTATGAGATATAACGAGAATAGGTCAATAAAGAATAAAATTATATTTATAAAAAAAAATATTAAATTGTTAAAAATAATAATTAACTACATTTGCGTAGAATGCAATTTTAAAAATTACGTTCTCTGGTTTAAGTAACGAACTTATATTATGAAATCTTTACCCCTAAACATATCACAAAACACATTTAATTCATTTTTAAAATCAACGCAGTTTTTAGCCTACAAAACTAACAAAAGCAATTCAAACGGACACTTAGTAATATATTTCCTTTTAAACAATAGAAAGCCGTTAGTTTAAGACCCGTTTAGAAAACAAAAGTGATCAAAATTTTGGTAAATTATACCCACTTTTTTTGAAATTTGAATAAATTAGACATAGACTATTATGTGTTTATCACTTTTGGCATTTTGTAAAATTTATGCTCAACAACACTTTGAGTGTTTTATTTCCTATAAACTTAACGATCAAATTTTATAAAATAATAATTTTGTCCTTCTTTTATAAAAAAATGTAATATAATATATTATTGTGAAATAAGGATATTACTAACTTTTTGTTCTCAAATTCACTTTCGTGCCGTTCAATCAATGAATTTAGAACCCTAAAGGACGTATTTATGTATGATTTGTCCAAACCTCAGTGGACTTAGTGTAATTTAACAAATAAATAAATATATATATATATATGTGTGTGTATAGATGGTAACTGCTAGAACAATTGTTAAAACCAATTTACAATTTTGCCCATCTTTCTATTTACGTTTTCCTTTTTCCATTTAGAAAAAAAGAAAAAAGAAAAAGGAAAACGTCAATAGAAAGATGGGCAAAATTGTAAATTGGTTTTAATAATTGTTCTAGCAGTTACCATCCAACTACCACCAATCCCATATTTACTACTCTTTAACAAAGAGCCACCATCATCCTTTTCCGGAATCTACTAAAAACCCTTTTAATAATTTTATTTCTCGGATACGTGGACGATCTTTGAGGATCCACCACTGGGCCACATGACACCACCTGTCACCACCACTCAATCACCACTTACTGGTGCCTTTTCATCTGGTCGGAAATCTTCAATTATAAAATGAACACACACCACATCTCATTTTCATTTTTTAGTGCTACAGTACACAATGCAACTGTTGACATCGACCTCATAATTATAATTAAGATACACCAATATATTTTCTTTCCTTTTTTATTTTTTTTTATTTCTGTCAATGTCAAGTCCATCAAGTGGCTTCCAAACACGCTTTGCTCTGATGCCTTGGTTTGGGTTTTTCAATGGCGAAAAAAACATTATTCAAAAAATAATAAAATAAAACCGACCCATTAAACAAATTCCACTTTCGATCATCTTGCAAATTGGAATTGGATCTTCTCCATCGGTGATACTTCTTTGATGTTCCCATGGTTGAAAATTTGTTTCATCATCCGCTTTCTTTAGATTTGCAATTACCCGCTCCCCTTCATTGTCATTCCTAGTAACACATCTTGGCAATAATGTGTTGTAAAAGCTGTCGCATTTTTCAGCACATTTAAATTTTATATTAATACATTTGTTTTAAATATTATAAATTTTTTTAGTGCTAAAATCCAGAACAAATTTATTGAAACATGACTTAAATATGCTGAAAATGACTACAAGTTGCAAAGAAATAGTACCATTTGTTTCGACCTAAGTATTATTTTTAAGTAAAAGTATATATTTTTATTTTTCAGTAATTGACAAAAGTGTAAGGGGTGAGACGTTTAAAATAACCTATCTAAAATTAAAAGATAAGTTATTTTTGTTAAGTTTTAATATTTTTTTCTTTGTAAATATTTTACCACAATTAAATAAAATAATTCAAACAAATGAAGCCTGCAAAGAAAAACATACTGGAAACTAAAACCACAAGCAAATAAATTAGCATTTCATGGTTTTTGATGCATAAAACCACAAGAAAATAAATGACATTGTTGTAATTTTATAAAGGTTCTGTCATTTTTTTTAATATGGTTTTTTATAATGAATTTTTATGACAAGTTAGGTGTTTAAACATTTTATTTCTTTTATTGTTGTTTTCATCTAATCAAACCAAACCTAATAGAAAATAAAGAGAAATATATATCATTTTTTCAACATGTGTTTGATTAGAATGAAAATTTTGAAAAATATTTCAATTTCATGATTTGGATAGCATAAAATTTACAATAAAATATTAAAATTGACCTAAATTGTCCTTATTTATATGAAGTGAAATAAAAAATCTAAATACATTCATCTCCAATTAAGATATTTTTTGTCTTTTAAAAAATAAAAGTAACATGAAAATCTAAATAAATAATGTTTAGAACATTTACATAAATATAAATCACTATACTATTCTTTAAAAAAATTATGCATAAAAATATTTGAAATAAAAATTTATGAAGAAGGTTAGGTGATTATAGAAAATTTGTCCAAAAAAAAAAAAAGAAAAGAAAAAAATATAGAAAAGTACTTTTCAGTTGCTATATACCCAGCCCGTTTAGGGCCTTTAGGCCCAAAGCTCCTAGGGCCCTTCGCAGTTCGGGCCAATAAGAGAGTTTATGCTTTTGGGCTCGGAGCGTAAGATCTAAATTATCAAACTGATACATACTTTACGACTCCACTTTGATTTTCTTTAATTTCAATTTCAAATTTCCCCACCATTTATAGATCTATCTTTAGAGACAAAAAAACCTCTCACACATTCTGAATCCGCCATTATCAGTACTGAACAAGTTCTTAGGAATGTCTTTTACTGACACAGACATCGATCTCAGAGTATGATTTCTTGAAACCCTAGCAAAGTTCTTCAAATTCCACAAAATCCCTTTCACATTCTCTCTCTTAAATCATTTCTCTCTCTACTTTCTGCAGTCATCTACTCAGTCCAACTTCGGAATGAGGTGAGATCTTCTTCTTTCTCTTCATTTAAGGCCTCGACTATTACATAAGTTGAGATTCTGTTGACTAAGATTTTGATTTGTTGTTAAGTGAGTACACATTTGCCGATATCGGAAACTTGGATCACTGTGCTAAGTATCTGAATCAGACGCTCGTTACCTTTGGATTTCCGGCATCGCTTGATCTGTTCGCCAACGATCCGGTTAGTTGAATTTTTTTTTTTTTTTTTAATTGAATTTTTTTAATATTATTATATTTTTGGTATTTATGGTTTGCCGTATCTGTGCTTTTAATGCTTAATTTGATGGCAATTTTGAGTATTTGGTAGGTTTCGATAGCACGCACTTGCAATTGCGTATACTCTCTGTTGCAGCAGAGACAACGTGATATTGAATTCAGAGAGTCGGCTAATGAACAGAGACAGCGGTAATTATATTTTCGCCTACGTTTCTGTTTGTATTTCATATTTGGGAGTTGGGAGAAGATCTATATATTCTTTTAAATTCAGTAAACCATTTTGATTTTCTTTCCTTCCGTCAGTGTTCTTTGGTTGATCTATACTAAATTGCAATGCTGTACGCATTATATGCTCTAATATATAGTAGAGTTGTAGGATATAAATGCTACCATGTTAAATTATTGCCATCTGAAGTTCACATCAATAAATTTATCAATAATATATTTTGTGAAATGGTGATGAAATGAGTTTTGAAATGGTAAAGAAAGTTGGAGGGCAACAAGCTATCATATGGGTCCTAAGTTTGTGTTGATACAATTGTAGATATACAATCATTCATTTTAGATTCAAGTAATCGTATTAACACATCCTGTTTTTCTATTTTAGACTCTTGTCAGATATATCAAGATTAGAAGCCAAAGTAGAGAGGCTTGAATTACAAATATCGGCTAAAGATAGAGAGATAGCCACAATCACTCGAACGGTTAGAAGCAGATATATTAATTATTTGATGAATTGAAATAATTTTTGATATGGCAGTAGTCATTCTATATTAGCTTGTCCTTTTTTGTTGATTTTCTTAAAAGTTCCATTTGGTTAGGAAGCTAAAGCTGCAGCAGCTTTTAAGGCACAAATTGAAAAGTTACAGCAGGAGAGAGATGAATTTCAAAGGATGGTTATTGGTAATCAGGTCAGGACGCTTTAGTGTATATCAGAGTTCTGTTGCATTTTGCTATCTAATTGTGGAAATGCTGATCCTGACAAGTTCTTAATGTTTGCTAAAGCAAGTGAGAACTCAACAGATACATGAGATGAAGAAAAAAGAAAAGGAGTATATAAAATTGCAGGTAAGATCCTTTCACGTGTACTAATGTACTACTGATCTCTAAAAGGATTCTGTGATGTTTATAAGTTACATGAATTTCCTATCCAAAAAAAAAAAAAAAAAAAAAAAAAAATGGGGGAAAAGAAAAGAAAAAAAAGAAGAAGTTAAATTACTTGGATATTATATTTACAGAAATTAATATAGAGAGTGATATTTCTTGCAGGAGAGGTTAAATCAAGTGTTGATGGAGAAAAAGAAGGAATCTCGATCAGGCATGGAGATAATGAATTTACTTCAGGTAATTGGTGATTACTGAGACCTGAGACCTGAGACCTGATAGATGCAAACAATTCCTTGGAGTTGGGGTGTGTGAGTACCAACTAGGAAAAAAAAATTGGTGATTACTGATATTGTGGTTTTAGGCAGTAAAACTCATTTGTCTAATGCTCTCTATGCAATTTTATCAACAGAAAGAAGGCCGGCAACGTGGGACATGGAATGGGAAAAAGGCTGACAACGACTTTTATAAAAAGATTGTATGAAGCATGATTTTCTAATTTAGTTTGTGTAATCACTTCTATCCGATGTGTGACTACTTGCTATTTCTAGGTGGATGCTTACGAGGCAAAAAATCAAGAATTAGTGGCGGAGAACGCTGATTTGAGGGCATTGCTGCGTTCAATGCAGGTACTTTTTATAGTTATGGCATTTTTATCGTTGTTATTATTGTTCTTATGGTTGCATCACTAATATTCATTACTGCTGATGAAGTAGATTTCTGTTTTTAATTAAGAAGCTGGTCAAGTTTGCATTTAAATAGCATATTGTTGCTTGTTGTATCTTATATAGGATGGAATGATTAAATAATTTATAAACCAGAGGTACTGATTTATGTATGATATTATGTACATAAGAGTACTGATTTATGGCTGATATTATGTACATAAAAGTACTAATTTTCCAAGAAAATAGCATCCGTTGTGCTGTAGGCACCAGGTCATACACAGAAAAGGGTAGATTCCCAACAGGCTTGTTTGGTGAGTGTAACTTGACTGCAGTTCTAAGCTTAACAGTTATACCAAACCACAGTAGGATCAATAATTATAATTGACTCTGCTTGAGTTATTTTAAATATGTCTCATTCCTATACCAGTATGGAATGCCCTTCTTCATGCATTATGCTATGAGTTATTTGCATTTTTTAAATTGTGACTGATGATAACAACCCATTGGAGATTCAACATAGAATCTATTAAGATTGTTAGAACATGAAATTTTATGAATAACACTTCTGGAACAATTTTAGGCTGTCGCTAGTTATACCATTTTGTTTTTGATACCTCCTTTAGGTCTTTCTCTAAATCCTACTATCATCCCCTAAAACACCACCAACTATCGTTCAGCCCCATTACAATCATAGCCTCCTGCATCTTTGGTTAGAATCATTGTGATGTGATCCTATCAAATTTACCATTAGCCTTACAATCTTTACCTACACTAATAAACACCAGCGGATCAAAAGATTTCTCCATCATCCTTCCTTACCAAGCTTGTGAATGCTTTTATGCTCAACTATTTCGGCTGAAATATTTTGGTTTTAAATGTAAATTAATAAGGCTTCCCATATTGTCTTGGCCTAGGTTTAGAGTTTAGACCAGTTTGGTAAATCTAGCTTAGCTTAAAATTTAGTATTTCTTCTTATCTAAGCTGTACTTTGTCCATTGGCCAGCCAAAGGTACTAAAGGAAGATGTTACTTATCAAAAAAGAAATGTACTAAAGGAAGATGTCAAAATAAAGTAGAATATTTGGAGGAAGATCGCACATCTTTGAATTACCATATCACACCCTCTCTTTCTCCTATCATTGTGATTGCAACAACCTTTCTGCTAATAGGGAGCTTGGTGGTTAATCAGTGAAGTAAAACCATTATGGTGGTTGTTGTTGTTGTGTGTTTATTTATTTATTTATTTTGTGTACGGTGTTGGGGGAAGGGGGGTAGCTCAAATTGTTCCATTACAGAGGTATTTGGATTAACTTTTTAGCTTCAATGTAGAGTAGCGTTGATGACCTCAGATGTCTGGGGGCAACTTATCCCTACATGCATCATACATGTATTATTAGCATGTAATGTATATTTGATGTGATTCTATTTACTCTTTTTTGAGCCAGAACTATGTCCCATTGCTTCAACCCCTGTATGCTATGTCTAACCATCTGCTAAAATCTATATTTTTTAGAACATCATCAATTAAGGTTCTAGAGCCACCTAATGTGCTGAGGTGGGTCTTGCACTTAAATCACGATTTTGGAAATTGAGAGTGGATCCATGATGAATCCAGCGGATTAGTAATTTCTGGAGTGCAGATTATAGTGGATCCAGGGCATTGTTAATTTGTATATTGCTGCCTAATCTGGGACGCAGTGAAGACAAAATAAATAAGTGTCCATGCTTTATAGTGAAGTGGTAATGCACCGATGCATGGAAAATCCTCAAAAGGCAAGACAGTGAATAATGTCCTTGAAACAATATTCGTGACCCAGTGAAGATAAAATATACAAGTGTCCATTCCTTATAGTCTTCACAAGTGAAGTGGTAATGCACCAATTTATGGAGTATGCTCAAAAGGAAAGACAATGAATAATGTCCTTGAAACAATATTCGTGACATCTGAAAGTACAAATATACAATTTTAAATGTTTTACAATTTCTTTCTGATTTGGAACACGAGGCTTTTCAAGTGGGGATTACATGGCCTTGGAGAAAAGGTATCTGTACATTAAAACACAAATTCAACACCTTCACTAGATTTTATCCATACTTTGAAGACTTTACACTTGTGATGATTGTGGCAAGAACTTTCTGTTTTGTGGAAATGTGTTTTGTGGTTGTGTTCTAAAGTACATCCAACTAACAGGTGGATATGCGTGATTTCTTAAACGCTCCAAATGGTTTGTCCAAGCAATCTTTTTCAGTCAATGATAGACCTGATGCTGATTCCTCGCGGTCCCCACTGGGTGGGAAGACGGTATGGTAGATTGTTGGAAATTATGCAAATGGATAATTTTGTGACAGGTTGGGTGCTGAACTGAGAAGTCTCAAGAGTTAATAATTTGCAGGATGTTTTCGACCTGCCTTTTCACATGGCTAGGGACCAAATAGAAGAAAGTCTCCGAAATAAGGTGGCGTCTATAAAGGTAGCAAACTGTTAATTGATATATGTTCATTTGGCTTCATGTTGAGAAATACCTTGATGTGTTTGTTTTCTGCTCTCAAATTTAAAGGAGCGCATGGGTCAGCTCCAAGATGCGCAAAAAGGAGCAGAAGTCACTTCTGAAGCAACTGAGAGGGAACTTGAGCTTGAAGCTCAACTTGTTGAGGCGAGGAGCATAATCCAGGAACAGGTACTATACTATTCTTTTAGAGCTTTAAACTGAATTTGAGATTTATGCAATGTCCATGGAATTTAATCTGGACCAGGTTGATAATTATATATCAAATGCACTAGCCAAACCTTTCCCATGTACATATATTCTAAAACTAATAACTATCTCTAATTTTCTATACTGCTAGTTCTATATTTGTGCATGTTGTTCTTCTGTACCTTAAGGGTTGCTCCCTAATCTTTGCCAGCTCATTCAGAAACTTCTCTGATCTTTGACTGTTCTGCAATTTGTTGAATCTTCAAACATAATTGTTTTTGTTTGTTTGTGGCGTGCTTTCCTTAAAAAGATTTTATATCTTACAGGCATGCATCGTAGTTAACTCTGAATATCTTTTGCGTTATAAGCAAATTATGTACAAATTATCACTGCCTTTATACTATCAACACTTAAATATAAGCGCATCTTTAGTAAAAGGCCAGAGAGTAGTTGGCTCTCTCCTCACTGCATGGCTCTGTACATTAGTGTACTTAAGAGGTACATGATCCATGCACCCTTGCTGCTTCACATGTGGTAATCGTTTTTTATTAGCTAATAACTAAAATTCCTTGTGTAGCAGTAGTAGGATTTATGTAACCAGACATCAGTGTTGCATATCCAACATGGATAAGAGGTATTGGACACCATCACTTGCCAATATTCGGTGTTAAGGAGAGGGTTTATGTATGTGCTCTTGTAAATTTATTATGTCTACTTAAAATTTTAATGTGGTGTGTTTACATTGACAAAAAAAGACAAATACGTGTACATGTAGTGAAAGTAATAACTTCTGGATTATTAAGGCATAGTTCAGATTCTTCTGCTCATACTTTTGAGGTAAGGTGTACTCTTTTACAAGTTTCCAATTGTGTCCGACTTGCTTTCTGTGTAAAAAAAAACGTTAAAATAGGATAAGTGTTGCCAATAATAGCTTGCAATCCAACAATGTGCTTACTTTGCAATTCTGGTTGTTTCCAAGCATGCCCTAAATGTTTGGAAGTTCAATATGTTACATCCTTATTGCTTTCCTTTTTCTCTTTCTTTCATTCTTTCTATTTTTGGTTTAATTGAATGCCATATTGGGTTTAATTGCAGGCATCCATAATGTCTAAACATCTTGCAAAGTCTGAAAAACCAAGGTATTCCTTTGCATTTCTTCCCTCTCTCAGCAGATTCCAGATTTAATTTATTACACAAATTTATGCAGGAGATTGAGTGGCCATCTGAATTCTGACAGGGATTCCCTCGTTTCATCACCATCTGAGGTAGGTTATTAATTTTATCATGATTGTTGCCCATCATTACGTCTTATTATGGCCATTTGATTTGTTACTGTAATATATCACTATATCACCACTTAGGCTATAATTGTTAAAACTTCAATTTAATGAAGCCCGTCATCTATCACTATAATTTCTTCTTGTTGCCGTGGTGGTTATATCAGCCATAGAAAATAAGCTTTGCTTGTGTGTGATTAACTGAAATGGATTTTTTCTTCTTCTTAATACATCTAGTATCAATGGTAAAATGGAACTCTAAATAAAACTATTTACTTTGCACTCAACTGAAAATAGCAAGCGTTACTGCTAGAAAATGGTTTAATTTAAATTACGATGAAGATATAATGGAATTTTTAATTTCAGTGGTGTGCTGCTTACTCATTTGAATTTTTTATTTAGCTTTCATAAGCTGAAACATCCCAAAGTGTTTGAGCTATATATCTGCAATGACATTGAACATATTCGGTTGAGGCCATCAGTGAATCTTCTAATCCAATTTTTAGTTACTGGAAAACAATATACAATGGAAGTAAAAAATTATAGTAATTGGCAAGCTTGGTGCTATTCATAATTTGTCCTTTTTATTGAGAAGAAAGTATATGAAGGCAATTGAACGTACCCAAATAAAAACAATGAGTTGATCCATCATATTTTCCTAAGATAGATATCCCAGGAAAACATGAGGTACTAGTGGGAGTAATTGGGATCCAACTGCCAATCATATCTTTAATTTTGGCTTGACAAGATGAGGGGTAAGTATAAATTGTGGAGAATAAATTTGTTTTGTGTATTATTTAATATCACACTGTTCTTAGTGGTGTTAATCTTACTATTTCTACTGTTTGTGTTTAGGGTGTGTGAAATCACCAATCTGGATTGACTTGATCTGCGGTACTAGCTTTAGATTTCAGTTCATGTCAACATGGAACCGGAAATTTTTATTGTGCCAAGCTCTACAGAGACAGAGGAGTGTGTAAAAGATATGTATGCTGATTTTTTTATCAGGGTATCCAGAATGATCCATTTGGACTTGTAGCAGATCTCAAAGGTTTAATTTTAAGCTGTGACGTTAATGCGATCAACACCTAGTTGTTTCTTAGTTAAAATGTATTTAGATGTGATGGTTTAGGGGTTTATCCTTGTGTATTGAATTTATGTTCATCCTGTACTCTAGTTAATTACAGCCAGTAAATTTAATTTTAGTTTCAAGGGTTTGGAGTCTTTGGACACCGACCAAACTGTTGTTTGTGTGTCTATAATATATATATTCGGGGTAGGTCTTGAAATAATATTTTGTCATAGAATCCTCTTTTTCTTCTTTTTTCCTGCCTTTTTTTCTCCTGTTTTGCTCGGTTTAACTGTATTCATAAACTTTCTTTTTGTAATTTAATATTTTCCAAATTTTAGCTGTCAGCCTTTATTTATTTATATCTTCTATTGTATGGTGAAAATTTTCATTACGAGTGGGTGAAATTTTTTTTTTATCAAGGTGGAGCTCAGAATTGGAGAAACAAACTCAAACTGAGAGACTTGAACCTAAAGATCATGCAAACCAATGTTATGAAATCATGTTAACAATTACCCTAAAACTAAGATATTGGGGGTAATTGGTGTTCTAGTATATGGTATTAGTACTTTGATTCGAGAAATTATTGAGAACTTTAGATGATGTTGGGGAGAGACACATAGATTACATGCTAGGTAAAGAAAGTTCACACACAGTGTTTAGTGTTTTGAACTATATAGTATTAGTACGATCATTTAGTTAGTTTAGCAGTGGGAGGGATACTTGAGCCAGCCTCAACAAGTAACATTGCAGGTACCGAAACTTGCATGACCAGTTTTTTTCCAACATGGCCTAGCCATTGCAGCACCATTAAGATAATGTAGATAACCTCCATGTGTAAGTTTCGTAAGCTCACACTCCTTCCACCAAATTGATATATTCATCCACAATTGAATCATCCCTAAACTTCTTCTCGGTGCATAACCAATTATCAAGCTCGGTAAGCTCTCTATTTCCCAATACATTTGTGCAGCTATATGATCTTGTTAGGATAAGAAAGAGAAGTGAATTGCTGTTGGGTGGTTTGTCCTTCAAGGGTCATTGATCTTCTTGACATAGTGTTAGTGATGATCAGACAACTCTGAACAAGAGAGTTGGCTTCGACACGTGCGATACATTGATTTTAATCCTGAGCAATGGGTTGATACACTAGCAAAGGAGAAGAAGATACATATTTATTTCTGTGGCTTTGTGTTGCCCATGTCTTCTAGTTCTTCACCTGTTTTCTTCTTCTTTGTGAATTGTGACTGCTTTCTCAAATGGGGATTTATGAAGTAGTAGCTTTTGTGTTGTTGGTTCCTAATAGGAAGGAATCTTGGTGTAAGATTCAGTCTTACAAAAGTGAGGGGAATCAATCTCATAAAAAATGTGGTTAGGATAATATGAGGCAGAGAATTCATTTCCATTTCAGTTTTTGATTAATTATTTCATATAAATTATAAATACAACAAATTCAGAATAAAAAGCTCCAGGATGAAGAACAGTTGCGACAACAATTTGAAAATATTGAAAAGAAAACATATTGATTCTAGTGGAACAAATATTATTTAGTGGCACAATAAAGTTGTAACAGTAGCAAATACTGTACCATCAAAATAAAAAAGGAACAATCAAAAGTTACCAGTATTATAGTAACAGTTGAGTATAGTTGACTGCCTCTTACCTTGAAACGATCACAAGGTGGTGTTATAATAATTACACAATTAACTTGGTCGACTAGGATGATCTAATTCCCTAGTCATCAGTTTCACCAACTATCAACCATCTTCTTAGAAAAGAAGATTTCTAAAACAAACAATAATGGCTATTCTGAAAGTTTAAATACCGGATAAAATCGAACATTACTTTTGGACACAGTGAATTCTCATATTTATATATACACTCATACTTATCAGTCCGATTTGTATCACTGTTGGTCGATGATCCATAAGGACCCTAATTTTTTTTTTGGTAGGCAACTATATTAAGGAAATTAGAAGTTAGTGTAACAAATATTTTGGTCACCATAAAAAAAAAAAAAAAAAAAAAAACCCCACAATAATTGAAACCTCTTCGTTACCCCACCTTTTGCAGTTTAATGCTCCTCAGGGTGATAACTTATCAATATACAAAAACACAAACACACAATACCGGATTGGTGGCCACGACACCCTCTCTCACCCTCTCTAAAGAGGGGGGGGGGGAAAGCAGAATTGGTAGAACTGTAGTGGAGGTGGCAATGGTGGTTGGTGGTGGCGACATCCCTTTCTAAAGAAGGGAGCTCTCTTTTTCCCTCATCATAGTCTCTCGTGTTGAGGTGAAAAAAAAAATTCTTTTGTTGTCAATTGTGTAGGGTTACTTTTGTCAATTCACATTGATGATATTTTGTGAATAACATTTAATTTAATTTGAGGGCATTTATGTCATTTGAAACCTTGAGAGATGTCATTGTCCAAAACTGCGTTGACCATGAATTTGACCAAAGCCTAAGGGATAAGGGTGGCAAATTACGACATAACTCGTCAACACGATTCTAATACGATACGAGATAAACGGATTTGGGTTGACCTTAAATAGGTTTGGGTCATAAACGGGTTGACACGATTAACCCGTTTACTTAACCGTGTCAGATTGGGGTTGAGAGGTTCAACCCGTGTAACCCATTTAACTCAACATGCTATAATCGTAAATCTGACATATATAAACATTGTCTATGCCTTATGATTTTTCTTCTTATTTTGAATATTTGGGTTAATTATAATAAATTTTTTTCTATTTTTTATTATTTAATTAAATATTAAATGTCTCGTTTTGATAAACAAGTTAACACGTTTACCCGTTTAATAAACATGTTGGGTTAGTGTTGAGGGTTCTTAATACAATTGTTAAATGAGTTAGGTTGGGTTTGGATTTACCCGTTTAATATAATATCCTTACATCGACACGACACGATTATGACACACGAACACGAATGGCCACCCATGCTAAGGGACGTCAATGCTATTAATCCATATATAAAGTACATACATAATTCGTCTAAATGGCTGGTTCATAACTGTTATAGTGTTATACCAAAATTAAGGGATTAGTGTAGAAAACATTCCTAAATTATACTTTGCATATCACTTTTACTCTTATTTAAAAACGTAGGCAAAAAATAACCTTAATCTTTTTACATTATGCAAAAATATCCCTAATCAGAAATCTAACATAAATTAATATTGTAATATCCATTTTACAGTTTTACTCTTTCAAAAATGTCCTGTCGAAGTGAGCTGTGGCTTATAAATAGGAAGATGGGGAGATAACGGGCGAAGGATATTCATGATATTAGGTTGGATTTATGTAAATTTGCTTTGCTCGCAGAGCTGCATACCGAAAAAAAGAAAAATCCCAACCTAAACAAGTGGTAAGGGGGTATATGTGCTACTAATTTATAGTATTGAGGTGTTATGTGCACATTACCTTATTTATTTATTTATTTTAAAACTTTTTTCTCTATATATATCTCTAATTTTCTTTTTCTTTCTTCTCCTTTTTTTTTTTTTTTTTTTTTTTTTTTTGAAACTTTTATTTTCGTATTAACACTATTAAACGAAAAAAGAAAAAAAAATCTCAATATCAGTGTGCACTGATTTTCTGAGTTTGGAGAAGATTTGTTTTATTTATTTATTTATAATTTGTACTTTATTTTCGTTTTTATTTTTTATTTTTATCTTTACTTTTCTTATATACTTTTATTTTTATTTTCTATTTTTAGCTTTAGTTGTTTATTGCCGGCGTCCTCATTTTAAAAAATTATTTATTTATATTTTATAAAATAATTTAGTAAGAATAATTTAGTTAATTTAGGTACTTTTTGCTGTAAATATACTTTAGGGTGTTTTACGGACTTGACTCCAAAAATTAATTGAAAATCACATCAAAACCGGTTCACAATGAATTATCTGATACCCGATTTTGATGGTTATTTGAGGATTATACAGGAGTTAATTAAAATTCACATCAGAATCGGTTCATAATCTGATACCCGATTTTAATAGGTACTATACCGAAGTTAATTGAAATTCACAAATAGCTAATACCCAGTTTAACAATATTATGTGTCCGCAAGTATAATTGCAACTTAATTTTAGACCTTCAAAACTTGAAAAAAATAAAAAATAAAAAAACTATTCACAAGATACTTTTTAGTTTCGTTCAATTTTATTGGTTTATATCTTATAACCGTTCCTTACCATGTGTGTTTAGTGAAAGCTCCATCATATTACATATTATATATACATATATAGGAATAAAATAATAAAAATAATTAAAAACGCTTTATAAATAATAGATTATAACTAAAGTTAGTTATATATAGATATACATTTCCGTTGAATATAATTTGCAAAATGCCCGTAAATTCACCTTGACTGTGTGAGAGATCGACACTGACGGTTATATATAAGTACTCTCTCTTCCCTCCCTTTCTATATGTTGGTTCTAAAAGCATCAAGAACTCGAAGTATCCTTCAAGAACATCAAGAAGCTTATTCAAAGATCGCCATTCCCTACTCAACTTTCATCCTCTCTCCCTCCCTCTTCTAATTCCTTTTGTTTCTCTAGGAATTCCTCTAATCTGTTTGTTGATTCAAAGAAAATCTTCAACAATGTCGATATTCATCAAGAAGATGATAGATAATCTGGTTGATCACAGGCATACTACTTTCAATCAATTGCCTACCGACCTGAAAGTGCATCACATTCTCCCTCGTATCTGTATTCCGGAGATTTGTCGTTTTAGATGCGTGTCCACAGACGCCCGAATCATGGTAGCTGCAAATCCGCAGCTCTTGACTTCACACTCAATTTTGTCAAACACTCCCATGTTGCTGTACATCTACAACAGAATAACCAGAGATGCACAAAACCGGGTTCGTTCTAGTCTGCGAATCACTTCCGTAGGGCTTAAGGGTCTTGAGGTACGTGACATGTTTTCAAAGAATCTGGATTCCCACGTTCACAGCATCATTTCTTGCACTAGTCTTGTTTGTTTCGTGTCAGACAATACTATTTTTGTGTGCAACCCCATAAGTCATCAACTTATTAGGGTTTCCAAAGGTCAGACCGAATTTAAGAGGGGTGGAGGAGACATTGGCATGGGTTACATCCCTCAGAGAAACGAGTACAGTTTAATTCATCTATTTTCAGTCGAAGGAAAGAACTTCTGTGAGTTTTATTCTATAACATGTGGTGGAGGAGGGGAAAGTTCGGCTTGGTGGAGAGCTGTAGGACCTTTATCCTTGGATAATGATGCCCCTTTTTGCTGGAAATGGGATGCAACCAAGGTCCCAATTTCTGCAGAGGGCTTTATGTTTTGGATGGTAAAGAATATGTTCCAGGAAAAAAAAATTTTTGCCGTGGACTTGGCAAAACTTGTGTTACTACAGAATGCAAACAGAGATGCAGCTCCTCCTTTGGATCTGGGCATGAAATGCTTTAAGACCATGGATTATCCTAGGCAAAATAGAGGAGTTGGTCATGGGTTAGAGACACAGGATATGCATATGATTGAGTTGGGAGGACATTTGTCCTTGGTCGATTACTCGTTCCCCACTGGGAGTGTAGAGATCTGGAAGTTGTTAGACTGCAACAATGGCATTTGGGTGAAGAAGTATGCAATTAACTGTTACAGTTTGAGGACTTTGGACATCGATGATTGTCTGTGGGCGGAGACCGAAGCAGGGCTAATGATATACTCACGTTTGGGACTCTACGAATGGCATACTCAGGAGAACACTTGCAAAAAGGTGGGTGAATCAAACATAAAGGGAAAGGCGGAAGCATGGTATATTCCTAAATTCTTCACTCTTGGAAGCCCACAATCCCTGTAGATTCTAGCAATTTCAAGTAGGTTAAACCATCCATCATAAACATGTACAAAACTTCAATTTGTATGTTCTGTACTGCAGGTCAACAATAAGTATCAAATTTACAAACAAAGGGTGATGACACTGCAACATATTTCTCTATGCATGATGTTTCTAGCTTCTAAAATGGTAATGACATTTTTATTTCCTTTTGGAGCTGAAGGCTGAGCTACAAAAGCATTGGAATCCAACAGCTTACACTGCACAACAAAATATGCATGTTCACAAATACCTACACCAAATTGACAAAAATGATGATATATGAGTTCTATGACAAAACATAAGCAAGACCTTTTGAAGTGTGACATCCAATGCTGGTCTTCATTTTTGAGTTCACTTCCAGGATTTTCTTCTTAGCTGCATTTGCTCGGGCTTCTCAAACATCTTTTTTCTTGTCTGCGTTTTTCGATCTGCCAAGTGATCAGATGAATGCAACATTTTTAAAAATTATTCTTGAATGCTAAGTCAAACAGTACTTCAAGTTTAACAGTGCGCACACGAGCCTTGTCTACCTCCTGTATTTAGCATCTAAAGATCCCTTTTGCTAATAAAATAAAAAGTAAAAGATTTGAGGCCAATCAGAATGACTTCATACCACATTTCATTCATCCAACCAGAGATGTTTAAAGTTTATTTGTCAAAAGACTCAAAACTAATGTTCTTGCATTCAAGGAAAAAAAAAAAAAAAAAAACTAATGATCTTGCATCTTCTTTGCAATATGGATACACTTCTTAAAACATATTCATCTTTTAAGAATACATAGAGAGAGAGAGAGTATACCTTGGTCCAACAATTACTTTGAAAAATGACAATAGTCAAAAAGGTTATTTGTTGCATGCAAATTACAAAAAATAGTGAAAATAAGGATTGAAGGAAGAAACTTTCGGTACTAGAAGCCATTTGGAAAAGTAATTATCTAATGATTCAGGGAAACACTGTTGAGAAAATCAAATAAGCCAAAACAGTATGATGTTGACTGTTCAAATGGGTCCTAAATCCTCACCTGGAGTGATTGTATCTCACTATGTAACGATGCAATGGGTAGCTGATTTTTCTTCAGTAATCTTCTCCATCTGCTTGATCCTCTCATCATTGATTTTCAATTCAAGGGTTCTCTCATCAATGATGGATTCTTCATCACAAAAAAACAAAGTGGACAGTAAAAATCATGCAAAAATGGAGACACAACACTTAATTTACTAGCCAAGGTACAAAAGCATAATTGAAAGGAAAGGATCAAATATACCACAATTCTTTCTTTTTCTTTTTTCTGAATACTTGCTTAGCATAAGTGTAAAACCAAAACCACAATACAATTGTAGAAGTTATTGAACTTCTAACACTAGGATATGTATAATAGACATGTACATAAATTAACAACAAAATCCAACATATCAGGGGAAAAACCATTACCAGACCCAACTAACAAAACTCAATAATAAAATTAATGCTCCATTTGGTAGCCAAGAAAATGTGTGAAATGAAAGGGCAATCAAAACCACAAGGTTTACATACTATAAACTTACAATGTTAAAGAATAAAACAGGAATACAATTTACAAAATATAACATTTTTATTCTTTTAACAAAAAAGTATAATAACTACTCGAATAATGGAATAAGCCTATTAACGTGGTCTCAACAATAATACCAACTGTTCCAGTAACCAAAAGAAATCATGCAATTCCTAATTCAGTTTTATTTTCTTCTGTTTCATTGGCAGCCAAACATAGAAATAAATAGATAAATAAATAATAAAAAAAAAACACTAAATCAACGAAGCCAACTAGCTGTAATAAATTAAGTAGAGTGGAGGTATTTATTTTCCGGTCCCAAACAGTTAAAATATAAACCTCTAAAAATAATCAGTTTTCTCAGCAACCAAACAGAATCTTAAAAAAAAAAAAAAGAGTTTGAAAAGACCTAGAAAGGAGATCTTTGAATTGAGTTGGTCAAGTTCGATCTTCAGAGATGAATCTTAATCCTCTAATTTGGAGAGGTCGTTGTCTTCAGTTGCTCAAACTGCCGAAATTGATGTGAGAATTAGGGCTAAGAGAGCCATTAGTTTGATGCCGCCATCGGAGAAACTATCCGACCGCAGAGACTTTCGTTCTGCAATTTAAAATGTATACGTATATACTGTATGTGTGTGTCCAAGGGACTAGGAGGATGCCGCCGAAAGGGTGTTCAGCCACTCTACGTTTCTAAGATATTTTTTTGGGGAAGAAGAGGATGAGTTTTTAAGTACGTTTTTTTATTGTATTCACAGTGAATGAGTTATTAAAATATACTGGTAGTAGTATAATTTACTTTTTATAAGTTTGTAATAAGATTAAATTGGTAATATTACAAAAAATAATATTTTAATTTTTGTAATGAAATATTTATTTTGGGATAGTTAAAATAAAAAGGTGGATAAATTTTTTTGGAAGGTGGGAAGGAGTTAGGGGTGGCAATTCGTATTGGTGGGTTGTCGTGTTAAAAATTCTCAACACTAACTTAACTTGTTTAAACGTGTTAACCTGTTTAATGACCTGTTTACTAAAATGAGACATTTAATATTTAATCAAATACTAAATAATAGAAAAAAAATTGTCATAAGAAAAATCATAAAATATAGACAATGTTCATGTTGAAATGACTTTAATATCCATAGTAATTGAATTTAAACATGTAACATATTACATATGTCACATTTATGATTATAATATGGATTATAAACAGGTTACACGAGTTGAACCCCTCAACCCTAACCCAACACGATTAAGTAAATGGCTTAATCATGTTGACCATTTTGTGACCCAAACTCTTTTATGCCAAACCCAAACCTTTTTAACTCGTGTCGTGTTCGTGTCGTGTCGTAATTTACCACCCCTAGATGGAGTATATATTATAATGTATAGTTGAGTATATAAAATAAATAAATATATATGCAATTTATAAAATGCTTCGATTCGATTCGGTCTTGTAGAATCTCAAACCTTAACCAAACCGAATTGTGAAAAAACCTGTTTGACTATTATTATAAACACTAACTATGAATAAACAGAACCAAATTAAGGCATTTGAATTTTGAGCCATGCAATACAGTGCGCGGTATTATCTTGAATTCGACAAAGCTTGACCCTTCAATCAGCGCTAGAAAATTTCAGTCAATTTTGACTCTCTACTTAAGGGCAGCTGGTATAGTGCTAGTTATACCGACTAGCAATGCTTATTTAGATTGCTAGCCATATCAGCAATTGTGCTGATGTGGTTAGCTACAGTATATTGCTATCCTTGGGCTACGGTATCGGTTAATTTCTATTTATTATTTTATTATTTATTTTGTATTTATTTTAATATATTTAATATTTTGAGTAAAAAAATTAAAAACATATTTATTTTTTTGTTTGTTTGTATTTTTTAAAATGGTTACTTTTTCAACCACTTGAAATTTTTTTATTATATATTTGAATGGAATAATTCTTTTAATACATTTAAATTAACATATTTTTTCATAATTAAATAAATAAAAAATACATTACATATTTTCTCACAATTACATAAATAAAATAAAAAAGATATTACATATTTTCTCACAATGACATAAATAAAATAAAAAAGATATTACATATTTTCTCACAATTAAATAAATAAAATAAAAAGACATTGCATATTTTCTCACAAATATAAATAAATTACATATGACCACCCCCTTGATTTAGTTTATTTAAGATTTGATCTCGTTTTTTTATTTCTAACTGTTTAGTCCGTTCTTCTCCAAATTTGATTATATCGCCAGTTGCTTAGTCTGTTGTCTCTCCATGGAAAATTGAAGTCTCATTCGCTCTCCTTCCACACTTACTTCACCAAAGATGATGCATTGTGCTGTTACAACTTCCAATTGTTTAAGAATACGTGCTTCAAGAGATGACGTTTTCTTTTTACGAATTTTTCTTACTTTTTGTCCTTCAGGGCGTGAGATGTTCAAACCTTCGGTATCGACTGGTGTATAGTCATCACCAAGTTTTACCGACCCTGGAGTTAATACTACAGGAGTTGATGAACCTGGTGTTGTTGGAGTCGATTCAGACCAATTTCTAGGCTCATTAATATCAAGATCAACACCTCTTTTCATTGGTCGTCTAATTGGATTTTCTTTAGCGTTGCAATGCATCTGCCATTTTTCCGAATCTCGAAGAACATTCTAACAATGCTCGTATTTAAATTTTTGTTTCTGTTGAAGTTTATATACATCTCTAACAATATTCAACTATAAAAAATAAATAATCATTGAAATTAATAAGTTGGATTAAAATTAAGAATAAAAAAATATTGTACAAAGTAAAAACTTACCAAATCAATCTCGTTGTAGACACTAATTGGATTATTGTGGACATTTTTGTAGTATCCTGAAAATTTGTTTACTTCACGTTGAAAGTGTAAAAAACAGTTCATCAGAGCACCGTGTGTTCTTTCTTTTGTCATCATGTCTCATAATTGCTTAACCCAATGAGCATTAATTCGTTCCCACAATGTAGCCTTACTTTGATCTGTACTTGTCACTGGATCTTCGTCAATCATGATCCATGTTTTACACAATGCTATAACTTCTTCTTCGGACCAATTCCCACCTTTTTTCTTTGAGGTTGGCTGTGATTGAGAAGGTTGAGATGAATTTTGAAATTGACGTGTGTATGGGGGTTGTTGAGATGGATTTTTGAATTGAGATGTGTAAGGGGGATAAAATGGATTTTGAAATTGAGGTGTGTATTCTGAATAAAATTGGTTTTGCAATTGGGGTTGAGATATATATTCAGAATGGGTTGGATCTTGCAAGTGTCACCCAGAATTGAATTGAGATGGTATTTCAAAGTTTCCATATTGGTTAAAGTGAGGGTTGTTGAATGGATGTCGCTCATTCATTGAGTGTCAAAGGATGATGATTTAGTGAAATGGGTGTGGTGTGCCCGTCGCATTGCAACCAAATTTGTGCAATATCAAGTGTGGCCAAGTTTTGAATTTATAAAAAGCCACAACTAACTTTAACTGCTAAATATAGCTAGGGTGAGTAGGGATCGTCCCAAGGGATTGGGTGCGTATTTGAAATGGAAACAAGGTTGGATTAGTAGGTCGAGTGATCAAAAGATGGTTGGATTGGTTAATTAAACTATGATGTAAACAAATTCAACACAAAACAATTAAAGTAAATAAAGGATAGAGAACAAGATAGAGAGGTCTTGGGACTTAGAGGTCACCACTAAACATTACCTTTCTAGACACTCAAAGTGTAATGAATGAGGGGAAATACATGTTGTAACACTAATGTGTGTGAGTGATTGAATCATTAAGCACGGATGTCAAATTGAGCATACATTGTCTAGACAACCTAATGAATAACACAATATATCAAACTAAGCCATTGATCCTTCCTTTAAGCTCACAATCAAACACATCCACAAACCAGAGATTTATACTACTTGCATTCATAAACATGGTATATCAAACAACAAGCATAGATTGTCCTCTCATCTATGAAATTAAAGCAACTACACTATAACTAAGCTAAAGATATGAAAATTAAACTAATTAAACTAAGGAAGAGGCACAATCCATTAAGAAATGAGTATGAACCATCAAATAAGCCACAAGAGTATTCCATTAAAGCACTATGCCTTGACAATCTCTAAATTCATAGCATCAACACAGATAAACATGCATCAATATTACAAAACCTAGAGATAAACACACGAATATCTACTCTAGCATACATAGACATATGAATAGAATGAAATGATCAATTGGAAGTATTAATCAACACAAATCATTGTAAAAATAAGATTTAAATATAAATCAAATATTAAAACATGATTACAACATAAATCCCCTCAAAATAAAACGCATCAAGGAATAGAAGGCATGCTTAGGGCTAACTTTAGCCCTAAGAAGATGTTTAGCCACTCATTGATGTAGCCAACCAACCCCCAAGGGCTATCTTCATGGTAGAATTGATCTTCTTCTCTTTGGTGGAAACCCTAGATGAATGGAAGAGCTCCCAAATAACGTGTCTCTAATCTCTAGCCTCCTATAATCTTTCTCTCCAAGCTCTCTATTGTTGTATCTAAGATTGTATATGTTTCAATGTTATGTGTAAAAATGGCTCAAAATCCTTATATAGGTAGCTCAAGTGTCACACCCAATGATCAGGTCTCGTGCATTAGGGCCCTTTTAATGATTGCACCACGAGCCATCTTTTAATGAGCTGGACTCTATTTTATTTTGAATTTGAGGAGGTTCGATCGATCGAATTCTGGCCAGATCCATCGAATTATGGCCAGATCGATCAACCTTGGCAGCACCTTTTTGGAATACGACAAATCTCTGAGATATTTTTGGGATATTTTGGGAAAAGGAGAAAAGTGGTAGGTGGGGATAAGATCAAGGAAGTTCGATCGATCAAAGGAATGATGAGATCGATCGAAAATGGAAATTCTTGAGGATAAGGACAAGGGGGTTTGATCCACCTGGATGAGGCTGGATCGATCACTGTGAGATCAATCGAAGATATGTCTGATCGATCGAAGCTTGCTGTTTTTCCACTACTTTGCTCCTTTTTGCTTATTTCTTCCATTCAGCTTGAGATAGCTTCTTTTATGCTCTAATATGGCTGAATTGACTTATTTTGGGGATAAGCGCCTCAAAAGGGCAATAACATGAAATTAGTTTAAGACAAGAAAAGAAGATAGATAAAGGTTTTAAAATACTCAAGCTTAAAAGGTTAAATGCACATTTTTTAGCGCTCATTAGGGTGTTGAAGGATGATTATTGAGTGAAATGAGTGTAATATTTATAGAAATTGTTATATACCCAACGGCTATATTCCCAATGGGTATATTCCCAATGGCTATATAAATCACTAATTTACTCTTTTGTAATTACTCAAGTCCATTTTCTCTTTCTTCATTCCTCAAATCCATTTTTCTCTTCTTTAATTCCTCTACCACTTTTTCTCTTCTTTGAATTCTCAACTTCTTTATAAGAAAAAAATGGCATCATCATCGCAATCTTTTCAAATCTTTGAATCTAATTCTTCAGATTCTGATCGGGAGATGATTTATCAATTCCATCATAAAAGGATTAAAACGATTCTGAGTATTTTTACGCCTGAGAATCTAAAAGCATTACTTAAATCAAAGAAGAGACTATATATTAAGCGTGATCGGAAGGATGCAGCACAACAACTTTGGAAAT